TTTTTTAGCACAAAAATGGCAGCCATTCGACCATCTTGAATCAGATCGTGAAACAAATTGACGTGCATATGTATAATATCATGTATGATGTATGTGTGAAGTTTGATTGTGATTGGTCCAGGCATTTCTAAGATACAGGTCCGGATGCACGCACAGACGCACGCACACAGACACACGGAGGTCAAAACATAAGTCCCTGTTTTCGAACTGCATCCGAACGGGAACTAAAAATACTCGTACCTGCAGAATGAAAATTACAATGCAATATGGAATAGAACAAGTAGTTTTCAAGCACAACATATCTATGCACAAAAATATATACCTGTGGAAAAGGTAAATGTTTTACTTCAAAATGTTTGTGATTAGTGACAAACTCTGTAACTTGCATCAAAATCTAGGCAACCAGCTACACATGTATATGCAGAAAGATACAGCCAGTTACACTATACAATTACTGTGGTAGCCAATATTGAGGAAATGTACGTCGGCCAACTGATGAACTCGTGCACTCACCTGTTTATTTTAATTAAATTTATAAGGTTATTTTTGGTTCCACCAACATGGTTCAGTGTCGTTTTTGTTTACATAAGAATGTACAGCTGGTTTAATTACCTTTTTTTTTTTAAATGTGTATACTAATATTTTATATTGACACACCTCACAATAATATAAATACTGTATTTGTTTGAGAAGTAGTGTATCTTGAATGTTGTAGCTAGGATTGTTATTGTTTGTTCGATATTACATGCATTCTATTTGTGTTCATAAGTCTTGTTTCGTCATCAACAATGGCGACCAGACTTAGACCAACTTTACTTGGCTGTTTCATAAAGCAAAAGCAGCAGCAAATCAACACGCAAAAATTGTAAATCAGTGGGCAGAAACTTAAAAGAAACAGTTCATGCAATGTGGGAAGGTGCTTAGAAATAAAGGTACATGAAGAAAAAGACAAACAAACAATCTGAGAAGAACTAAGACTAATAACATGAAGTAATAATAATGAATGACTTACCAAAAGAACATGTTTAATTCCTAATTCAGGCTTCCAATCTTTTTTCAATGTATTCACACAAATTTCACCATTACTAGCAACATTTGGATGAAAAATTCGTGTGAGAAAAAATCCTTTAGGTGGAACTGATGGAAAACCTTTACCTAAAACTAACTTAACTCGAAATAAACCACCAGCATAGGGAGTTCCTCCTATGAATAGAAAGAAACATAATATATTAGAAACCATTTTTGGATATTATAATTATTAATAAGTTTGTACCATAAGTGAGGTGACACAATTTGTACTACAGTGGTCAAAATTAAGCTATGTACGCTTAGAAATTGCTTGTCCCTGGGAACAGGTGAATTACAGCAAATTGCAAATTGGCTGCCCCAACATTTCTCAGACTTGCTGTAAGATACGTGCTAGTCAAATGGGAGAGATACATTCAGTAATTGTGACAGGCAACAGTATTCTCCAACCCTGTTTTTTCAACCCCTGTTATATGCTACACACCACAATGTCAAAGGGAACCTAATTGAAATAGAGAAGGAGGGAGGTGGTTGACGGTGTTTCCTCGCTTCACCACATACATATACCATGTTCTACAGCATACGTACAAAAAAAATGCGAGCACCGTATTCCTCCCTATCTTGGTAATCCATAATATACAAAACTGCATGCTTTGGTTCTTGCAAAGGTCTACTGGAATCACAATCCCAGTCTATAAGATGCATAACATTATTACATTTTTATGTATTGCAGTTTATTTTCTTTCACCCCTAAAAACACGTTATTTCTACTACTGATATCTAAATCAGCAAAAACACAAAAAAATCCTGTCTGTTTCACTAGTTGCCACCATATGTGGGTTCATAATAAAAATCATAGAATGAGAAATGATAAATTGATGTTGTAACGGTGAGTCCACAAGTCTCCAAAAGTTATGACATGTCTGCCTGTCGATACAAAAATTAGTATGTTATCTCATGAATCGGAAAACACTGGACATCAGGAATGTTGCCTTTGAAATGCATGTATATTCTTTGATATAAATGTTGTTAATTTTCACAGGTTTTTAATCCACTATTTAGAAGCATATTAACTAGGTTTTAAATTTACAGATTTGCCAGTGAAACAATGAGTGTTAGAATTGTAATTTTATGTGTTCACATGGATTTATTTAGCAGATACCCCATATTAATGAAAATTAAACCCAGTGAATAAAAAATGCATTTACTGTAAATTTAAATAAGACTGCCATGTCACATGGGAAGGCCCTCAATTATTGCGCACTTATACAGACATCTTGGATGATGTAGTTACAAATTTTCTTGTAAACATGTGTAAAATAAATCTCTTGGTCTTGCCCTGATGTTTGAGGAGTATGGAAGTTATTTTTATTTGTGATGCTATGAAACTATGCAATCTTTTATGGCTGCAGAATACACCACAAAACTAGAGAGCACTCGTAAAATGCAAACCTCCGCCAAGCAGCTCATTTTTCCACATACACTGACTTTATACAACCTAAAATTTTATCCACATTATTGGAAACATACAATTTGGAATTATACATGCATCACTATTATTTCAACAGTTATTGATATTTTTTCTGATGGCAGTTTTCTTTCGTATATAACTTTTTTTCGTAATGTTGGTAACAGACAAACCAACACTAGGTACTAAAAATATAACCTCTGTTGCAGAGAAAGTACTTTCATACCTCTTGATCATCAGGGGAAGGCCATTAGATTCTGTCATACTACTGAACAAATCCTACCTGGCCCTTCTATCGTGGCCTGTATATCTGTAATGTCTTCTTCATTAGGATAAACTTTAATGCCTTCGGGTGGGTTTGATGACAATTCAGATATTTCTTTGGCAACCTGTCTTATGGTTTGAGGTGATAGATTTTCCACATTGGAGCTCTGCTGTAAAGATGGCAAAAAACAAAAATCTATTAATCCACAATTAATTTCTATAAAAGCTATTCCTGTAAATACCAACCAAATGTACATTTATACCTACTTTGTCAAGCAACCATAGGCCAAAAATAAATTAATGTTTCCAATAACGTTATTTTTTCGATAAAATCCAAGCGTTTATTTATTCTAAGCAAATGTGCTAAAATTTATTTTAAGCAAAGTAGCTATTGTTATTCAAACAATGTTGCATTTTTTGACTTCATGTACCATTGTACCAACTATGTAGTGAATGTATGAAACTAACTTAGATGTCATTTTTCACATCTGTGATTATGTTTTTACAAAAAGTACAACTGCAGAGCAACAACTGTGTAACACTGTGAAATCATACATTTACGGTTATTAGGGTCTTGAGACTATGAACAAAAATATTTATGGTCTAAATTTGCATGAAATATGCAAAGAAGCCCCTAAACGTTGGCAGTTGTCTGTTTCCCCTTAGATAGTTTATTCAAATCAATGCTTCTGTTCTGAATTACTGTAGCCATACATGTAGTAAGTACCGGTAATTCAGAACAGGAGGAAGTGGTGAATCCTAACATATTTCCTATGACTCGTATTCCCACCATTTCAAGTAATAGTCTCAAGATCGCAATAAAGCATATGAAAGTTGTCAATGCCAGTAGCCATGTTAAGTTACTAGATACAGCTGTGAAGCACTGTTACCATATATCTGAATGAACTGCACAATGTCCACAATTACCGTAAAATCTTGCTTACTCTAAAAATTGTTTTTCTTGGATCAAATTTAGGCTTTAATTATTGAAAATGAAAAACCACTGAACTGATAGTACTTTGTGTTAAGGACACAAAACATCCTGAAAACATTTATCTACTGCTGTAGAAGTACACACAAAAATAACATACATTTCTGAAGGTTCTAATGGCATTTACTGTAAAACACTTACCATGTTAGCGAATTTGACTCAAAGCATGAATTAATTGAATCTTAATTTAGCTAAAGTGCCAATAATCTTACTGTGAAAATATACTCTATTCTAATTAGCGACATCTTAATTAGTTTTACAGTATTCAGTCATGTTTGAGTACAAAAACTGTTATTTCTTTGATTTGCTATGAAATATATGTAAACTTCAAGTTTGTTTTATCAAGAACGATTGTTTTAGAACACTCAATTGATTCTGTACAAATTCCGCATTCTGTCATGTTTTCTTGGACACAAGTTGATTAAGAATGCCGTTAACCAATCACAATACAGGCTAGTGCTGAAGACATCTTCCGATTATTGACTGGCAAAAACCACATTCTGGTATTAAATTTCGTAATTTGCATCAGGTTGCAATACGTTCCTATGGCATTGATTATTACATTTTAAAAGTTAAACAAGTACTGAAAGAATGTTAACAGCTTTCATGGTGATGAAATGTAAATATAGGGGAAAAGGTATATTTGCTGGATTTTATTCTCACTGAATCTTTCCTTCAGCGAAATAGCGAAAATGAATTCCGAGCAAAAATAAAGTACATTATTATACATCTGTCACCGTAACGTTACAGCGTGCAGTGATTTTGTGATATTTTACGGGGTATTTTCATCCTACCATATTAGGAAATGCGAATTCCAAATATGGAATGATTACGCGCTTAAGCGTCCACTAATAATAAAAACAAACATGGCTGCTGCCAAGGTTTGATCGGACTCCACACACAGAAGTTCACTGATTCTGTTCTAAACATTTTGGATTTCGGCATTCCCAATGGGTATCCTCAGAAGGAAACGATGTATAATAATAAGGTTAGTACAAGGATACCTCAAAGTATGCACTCAGACATTACACTTGTAATGGAGAATATAGAGCTTGAATTACTTACAGAATTTTAGTGCCAAAACAAATCAAGAATGAACAGCTTAGACAGTAATGTGACATACCATACCATACAATATATTTTATGTTAGTAACAATAACTATTTGTACCGGCATGTACATGTACTGTAGGTATTATATCATAGTATGCAAAACCGAATATATTATTCTATAGGCTGAACAAAATGAGAACAATTTCAACATCAGAAAAGTGTGACCTGATAAAACCAACGCTGTGTCAAATTTAAATAGCAAATGTATTAGTATGTAATATCATGCAGAAAAAAACAAAGGAATATCACTGTTTTCATTGTTAGAGAAAATTTGTGTAATCCTAAAAAATTACAGAAATCCATGACAAATTGACACATATGGTAATCCGACTACAGTTGTACATGTACTATTCAAGAGTACTGATGACTTTCTGAAAATGATGGAGAAGAAAAAGTAAAGATGAACATTGAAAGAATAATTATAAAATAAGCTCATCTTCTCTCGCTAAGGTACGCTTATTAGTCATCGCCTCACCACTGATCCTCTGTTTAGACAATGTGTGTTAACGTTCGCAATTCAACTTTATGCTGCACTCACTCTGATTGGGCACATGTTTTACAGAAGCGTCCAATCAGATTTATTTCAGTGAGGTCAAATACGCAACCGTTAA